TGGCTCTCCTTTCTGTCCAATCATGAGTTTCATTTCCTTGCTCTGTGTGTGTGTGTGTGTGTCTGTGTGTGTGTGTGTGTGTGTGTGTGTGTGTGTGTGTGTGTGTGTGTGTGTGTGTGTGTGTGTGTGTGTGTGTGTGTGTGTGTGTGTGTATGTGTGTCTGTCTGTCTGTCTGTGTGTGTGTGTGTGTGTGTGTGTGTGTGTGTGTGTGTGTGTGTGTGTGTGTGTGTGTGTGTGTGTGTGTGTGTGTGTGTGTGTGTGTGTGTGTGTTTGTATGTGTGACTCTAATGAGAAGTCTTTATCTGTTCACCAAAAGAGGAAATCTCGTCTTTTCATCGCAGCTCGAAATCCAAGCCGGTGAGACAGACAACTTTGCTGGTGAGTAAAATAATATAAAATATAATATATGTAATGTGATATTATATAAAATTAAATAAAAGTAAACCATTTTAACACTCAATTCTTGAGTAGTCAACAGTGGTCAACAGCAACATAACAACATTTGTATAGTTTATTATTTTAAATTGATTAATTATACCCATTTGCATGAATGTTTCCTTTAAGATGAATTCGTTTTAATTAGTTTCCGTTCATTTTTATGAAAACCGGCTTGAACTTTGCTGCAGGTATTAAGCATCTTAATGAAAACTTAATAAACCCTTATCTTTAAATGATGTAATGTGTGCTGTACGTAAGATTTTGTTTATGACAAAAAGTCAAACTTCTTCTTCTCCTTCTTGTTCTTGTTCTTTTTCTTCAGTGTTTTGGACCATGGGAGGTTATTATGGTCTGGTGTTTCTGGTGGTCTTCACCCTGATTCCTGCCCGATGTGATGAGAGTTGTGGGGGGGGAGATGGCCGGGCGGGGGATGCAGGAGCTCCAGGGAGAGACGGATATTCAGGAGCCAAGGGGGAGAAAGGAGACACAGGTAAAACACTCTTTATTTTAAAGGTATATTTGTATTTAGTTTTGTCTTTTCATGCAATCACCCTCAGGTTCAAGCATTTAAATAACAAATTAATTATGAAGCTATATTTTGTTAAAAAGAAAAAAAAGTAATTAAAGTTAGCTCCACCTTAACCAGCTGCAAAATTGTACTAGTACATATTATCATCCATAATAGATATACCACCGTATTGACCCGAATATAAGACGACCAAAGTAACACCAAATCTCTTTGCTGCTTGACAGTTGTTTGATGACTCCGCTTCGTGGATCACCATTATCTTAAAATTGGCATCGTAACTTCGCCTCTCTTGTTTATGAACTTTCCCTAATTTTGATCCACTTCATTGGACTTGGTCTCTGTGTCTCTCCATCTCTATCTCTCCTGTTGCTGTTACCGTACTTTATGACGGTTTCTCGCTTGGGGGAACACTCGTTTGGCACGATCTGTTGTTGTGACTATGTAATTACATTGAAAAGTCTAGACCCCGAATATAAGACGAACCCTCTTTTTCAGATTGTTTTCAAGGAAAAAAACCCGTCTTGTATTCGGTCAATACGCTATTATGAAAATTGTCATTCTGCATAAGGAGTACTTTTAGTTTTAGGACCGATCAAATATCTACTTCTAACCCCTAACCCCCCTAACCCACTATTATAGTAATGTAATATCTATTAAATTGACGTAGATTTACTAAAAGATAATTAATTGGTTCTCATCTTGTTTCTGACGCCCCCTAGTGGCCACAGAGTGAGTTACTGCAGTTTAATCGTTAACGTGTGTGTGTTTCAGCGGTGATGTTGAAGGGTCCGGTGGATGAGGCGGTCCTGAGGAAGCTGAAGGGGGAGGCGGGGGGGCGAGGCCAGCAGGGGGTCATGGGCCCTAAAGGGTACCGAGGACATCTGGGAGCCGCGGGACAACCTGGAGAGCCCGGTCGCCCCGGAGCCGAGGGGAAGGGCATCATCTCCGGTAAGGATACGACTTAAAGTATAAACCACACTAGATAATACACAAAAGAGTGGTGCAGGAATCAGAATCAGAATCAAAATACCTTTATTAGTCATTTACATTATTACAGCAGAAAAGGGGCCAAAGACAGCTTAATGTTACCTAAGAAGCATGCATTAAAACATTTAAATTAAATGAGGAATGAGTCCTAAAACCCGGAAATGAGTCAGCATATTATCACTTCCTACTCCCTCGCCTGGAAGTTATTGGTTGTTAGGGTGAAAAAAGGTCTGTGGTAAACAAAAGCTAAAGAGATTTTAAAGTTTTGTTCTACGACATAAAATACATCAATAAAAACCCCACTGGTGAATTAAAAAAATTGCTAACAAGTGTCTAAATTAGACGACTAATCCTCATCAAGCCCAATATTAGCAACCTTTAGCTTAGCGGTGGTGACATGAAGTCATGTGACCGTGCTGTAGTTCCTTTATAGCCCAACATTAGCCACCTTTAGCTTAGCGGTGGTGACGTGAAGCAGAGTCCTGCATCGGGTCGGGTACCCGCGGGTATTTTTTCAAACGCTTTTTTCCGGGTTCGGTTCTGGGTAAAACAAAGATGATGCGGGTCGGGTCGCGGGTGTTGCATAATAAATATATTAAAATAATAATAATTTAGTTTAATGTTTAAATCCTCAGACCTCTCCCCCGCGGACCAAGCATAATCATAAC